GGTCTCACCAAGTTGCCCGGGCTGGTCTCAAACCCCTGGGCTCAGGCAATCCTCTCGCCTCAGCCTCCCAAAGTGCTGGGATTAAAGGCATGAGCCACCATGTCTGGCTAGGGTTTCAATACTTTTTATGCTGCTTCTGCTGGTCCTGCTTGCTCCTTGGAGGTAGTTCTAGGGATAAAGGGAAATCAGAGATGTAGTTAAACTCTGAAATAATAAAATCTCCTAACAGATGTCAGGGGTGATCAGTCCAGCTTGATGACATGTCCTGAGCTGACCTCCCTCTCCCTACCTGTCATCTTTCCTCTGATTTGGAAGGGAAAGAGGAGGGCCCAGGCACTCAGACCTTGGAAAAGTTGTTCTCCCTGTCTCTTTCTTCTCTGAGATTTGTTACTAAAGATGGGAGGACTCCTCTCCAAGTCAGGAGAAAAGTTAGTGCCTCAAGTGCAGGTCCCAGAGTGAAGGCCTTGACTGCACGATGCTCGAAACCATAATCTACTTAGTCTTGGAGAGAGAATTCCTCTGGAGGGGAAGGGAACTCACTTTTGGTAAACACTGGCCCTGGGGTCAGCGCTTTACTTATATGACCTTGCTTAATTAGCATAACTCTATAAGGTAGGCATTGCTGTTTCTTACTATTTTCCTATCTCACTTTTGTTTGTTTTTGAGTCAGAGTCTCACTCTGTCACCCAGGTTGGAAGGCAGTGGCATACTCATGGCCACTGCAGCCTTGACTTACTGAGTTTAGGCGATCCTTCCATCTCAGCCTCCTGAGTAGTTGAAACTATAGGCATGTACCACCACATCTGGCTAATTTTTTTTTATTGTAGAGACGAAGTCCCACCCAGGCTGGTCTTGAATTCCTGGGCTTGGGCATTCCTTGCCTTGGCCTCCCAAAGTGCTGGGATTACAGGCGTGAGCCATCCATTTCCCTGTTTTACATTTCAGAGAACTGAGACTCAGAAATGTCAAGTAACATGCCCAAGAACACACAACTAGCAGTGCATAGTATAGACAAGATTCAGACATAGGTCTGTCAACTTCTAAAGTCCTTGCCGAACTGGCTATACCCACGACACAAGAGAACCTCTGGAAACCACGGCCATTTATCTTGCAAGGTCCTGTGGCCATGCAAATCTGTCTCTGACCAGTGATTTCTATAGTTCAGAGCCTCCAAAGATCTCTGGAACAGACACTCCCTATTTGAGGTTTTTTGTTTTTGTTTTTTGAGTTTGAGTCTTACTCTGTCACCCAAGCTGGAGTACAGCGGTACACTCAGGGCCACCACAGCCTTGACCTGCTGAGCTCAGGCGATCCTTCCACCTCAGCCTTCCAAGTAGCTGGAACTACAGGTGTGCACCACCATGCCTAGCTAATTTTTTGATTTATTATAGAGACGAGGTCTCACCATGTTGCCAGGCTAGTCTTGAACCCCTGGGCTCAGGCAGTCCTTTCGCTTCAGCCTCCCAAGTGCTGGGATTGCAGACGTAAGCCACCTCACCCAGCTACTAATTATTGTTATTATTATTATTTTTGAGTTGGAGTCTCACTCTTGTTACCCAGGCTGGAGTGCAGTGGCACGCTCACGGCCACCGCAGCCTCGACCTGCTGGGCTCAGGCAATCCTTCCACCTCAGTCTTCTAAGTAGCTGGAACTACAGACTCATGCCACCACGCCCGGCTAATTTTTGTGATTTATTGTAGAGACAAGGTCTCACCAGGTTGCCTAAGCTGGTCTTGAACCCCTGGGCTTAGGCAATCCTCACACCTCGGCCTCCCAAAGTGCAGGGATTATAGACATGAGTTGCCGTGCCAGGCTACTTTTTATTATTTTAGAGATAAGGTCTCACTGTGCTGCCCAAGCTGGTCTCAAACTCCTGAGTTCAAGTGATCCTCCCATCTCAGCCTCCCAAAGGGCTAGGATTACAGACATGAGCCACCATACCCTGCTGGATTTTCCACATCTTTTAAACCTATGTAATCATATTAATATGCCTAATCTGATCATTTCCTTAAAATGCTTATTTTCCCACTGAAAATATTACGATATTACATTTTAAACTGTATCTTTGTTCAACTACAAAATTAAAAATGATTTGGAACTGATGACTCTGGGTTCTATCATCCTCTCTAAGCCGGCAAACCTTCCATTTGAAGAACTTAAACCATGCCAGAGGAGAGCTTTTCAAACTGTAATATGCATAGGAATCAACAGGGGATCTTATTAAAATACAGATTCTGATCTAGCAGTTCTGGGATGAAGCCCAGAAGACTTCATCTAAAACTCCAGCATTATCTTTTCCAATTGTGTGTGTGTGTGTGTGTGTGTGTGTGTGTGTGTGTGTGTGTGTGTATCTTTCTTGCCTACTTCCTGATCTCTCCTGTTCCTTGTTTTGACACCAAACACAACCCCTTTACCTTTTATTCCTCAGGTAGAAGTGATTACATTTTTTGATTAGGACAGAGCCTGGGAGGAGATGGCAGAGAACAACAACAACAAATCTTCTTTTCTTTGGGATTCTTTATGATTTTTTTTTTTTTTTTTTTTTTGAGTTGAAGTCTCACTCTGTCACCCAGGCTGGAGTGCATTGGGGCACTCATAGTCACCGCAGCCTTGCCCGACTGGGCTCAGATGATCCTTCCGCCTCATCCTTCCAAGTAGCTGGAATTACAGGCACACACCACTACACCCAGCTAATTTTTTGGTTTATTGTAGAGATGAGGTCTCACCAAGTTGCCCAGGCTGGTCTCAAACCAGCACTTTGGGAGGCTGAGGTGTAAGGCGATCACTTGAAGGCAGGAGTTCAAATCCAGCCTGGGAAACACAGCAAGACCCAGTCTCTACAAAATAATAATAATAATAATAAAAATTAGTGGGCCATTGCCTTTCTAGACTCTGGTGTGGCCATGAGCTCTTGGAGCTATGGTTGCTGCCAGACTTCCTGGATTTGGCCCCTTCCCCTACCTTGGGGAGGTGAATCTCCTCTTTCTCTCTCTAATTTGCTTTCTAAATAAAGTATATTCCCTAATCTTAAAAAAAAATTAGTAGGGCATGGTGGTGTGTCTGTACTTGGGAAGCTACTTAGGATGTTGAGGTGGGAGGATCGCTTGAGTCCAGGAGGTCGAGGTGAGCTATGATCATGTCACTACATTTCAGCCTGGGTGACATAGAAAAATCTTTTCTCAAAAAAAAAAAAAAAAAAAAAAGAAAGAAAGAAAGAAAGCAAGCAGGGAAGGTATATTTTATTCCATTTTGTCATTCTACAGATGAAGGCATGTAAGCACAGGGAGGATATGAATGGATCACTATCACCAGTTAGGAAGCAAGACTGGCACCTTCCTCCCCCATGAGTTTAAGGTAAAGGAGAATGGGGCAGAGGGGCACTGAGGAGAACAGGAGGGATTAGGAGCAGTTCTCGTGGAAGTAGAGAAAATGGGAAAGGCAAAAATGAGCAGTTCTTGAAGCAGTACTGCTGACAATTAAAAAAAAAATCCCAAAGGTAAGAAAATATCTTAGAGTTGCACAAGGAATTTTTTTTTTTTTTTTTGAGTTGGAGTCTCATTCTGTTGCCCAGATTGGAGTGCAGTGGCACGCTCCTGGCCACCGCAGCCTCGACCTGCTGGGCTCCGGCGAGCCTTCCGCCTCAGCCTTCCAAGTAGCTGGAATTACAGGCGCGTGCTACCACGCCCGGCTCATTTTTGACTTATTGTAGAGATGAGGTCTCGCCAAGTTGCCAGGCGGGTCTAGAACCCGCAGGCTCAGGCAATCCACTCACCTCAGCCTCCCAAAGGCGAGGGATTACAGGCTGAGCCACCGAGCCCGGCTGCACAAGGAATTTTAAAAACCAATTTAAACAAATGACTTCAAGCAAAATAATCGTCTCTATTCAAAGTGGTTATATTTTCTTGCGTTTTTCTGTTGGAGGCAGAGCTGGTGGAGTGATATGAGTCCAATAAAAGCCTTTCTTATGAATTTTTAAAACAGTCAGGTGCGGTGGCTCAAGCCTGTAATCCTAGCACTTTGGGAGGCCAAGGCAAGAGGATTCCCTGAGCCCGCGGGTTTGAGACCAGTTTGGGCAACTTGGTTTTGGCAAATTTATTGTAGATCTCATCTCTACAATAAATCAAAAAATAAATTGAGCACGGTAGCACGCGCCTGTTGTTCCAGCAACTTGGAAGACTGAGGCGGAAGGATCGCCTGAGCCAAGCAGGTCAAGGCTGTGGTGGTCATGAGTGTGCCACTGTACTCCAGTCTGGGCTACAGAGTGAGACTCTGACTAAAAAAAAACGAGAAACAAACAAAAAACCAAAACATTTTTTGCCTATAAAAAAGTAAGAAGTTTTTCAAATCTAGGGTAAAGACACAAGATAACTCATGCTGCAAAGTTTATCTTGGTCATACAACTGCTCCCACCAAATTGATGATTTATTGAGCCTACTGCTAAAGTAAAAAATTACAGAATGATCTTCCTTTTGCTCTTCTTGAAACATATCCGGATACTGAAATGTTATTATAGTGATGATTATTTATTGAATGACTATTATCTGCTAGACACTGTGCTTTACATATATTACCTTTAATTCTTGTGACACTACTGTCAGGGAGTTATTATTTTTCCTGTTTTTGTTATGAGGGAATAGGCTCAGAGGGATTGACTAACTTGTTCAAGGTCACACAGCTAGTATGTGGTTGAGCTGGTCTGTCTGACTCCATGTCCTGCGCTCTTTCTTTCTTTTTTAATTGGAAAATATAGTTTATTTAAAAGTAGATTAGAGAGAGAGAGAGAGAGAGAAGGTTTACTTCCTCAAGGTAGGGGAGAGAGTCAAGGCTTAGACTCTCTCTTTGGTGTGTTGTCCTGTGCTCTTTCTATTTTATCTTCATCATGCAATAAACAAACATTGAATATATTATATACCATGGATTTTATCCATCTTTTCCTTTAGTTGCAAATACTAAAAATGTTATTTTTAAGAAAACAGAGAACTATGGTACAGGACCCTAAATTGTAGATAATAATAAATTCCATTTGCATTTCTTGTCAAACCTTTTCTTTTTCCTACATTCTTTTAGTTTTTCTGATTCTATTAAAGATATAGTCTATAATATAATGTAATATATAATATAATATTTTAAAAGCCAAGGCAATGACTCTGTGATTCTCTCCATGCACATTCTAAATAAATGTGCATGCTGCTTCTCCAATTAAAAAAAAAAAAAAGCAGCTGGGCTCGGTGGCTCAGCCTGTAATTCCATGCTTTGGGAGGCTGAGATGAGTGAATTGCCTGAGCCCGCAGGTTTGAGACCCGCCTGGCCAACTTGGCGAGATCTCATCTCTACAATAAATCAAAAAATTAGCCAGACATGGTAGCGTGAGCCTGTAGTTCCAGCTACTTGGAAGGCTGAGGTGGAAGGATCGCCGGAGCCCAGCAGTTTGAGGCTGCAGTGGCCGGGAGCACTTTGGGAGGTCAGGTGAGGATTGCCTGAGCTCATAGTTTCGAGACCAGCCTGGGCAACTTGGTGAGGCCTCATCTCTACAGTAAATCAAAAAATTAACCAGGTGTGGTGGGGCATGACTGTAGTTCCAGCTACTTGGAAAACTGAGGGGGCAGAATCACCTGAGCCCAGCAGGCTGAGGCTGCAGTGACCGTGAGTGTGCCACTGTACTCCAGCCTGGGCAACAGAGTGAGACTCCAACTCAAAAGATAAATAAATAATTTTTAAAAGGCATCTATATATGAGCATCATCAGAGGTAAGTACTGATGTCAGGTGGCATGGGGTGTAGTTCTGTGGGCTTTTGACTTCACCACAGAAAGAATTTCAGAGTGATTGACAGAGAGGGTTTTAAAGTACAGTTCATGTGAGAGAAAAAAAGAAAAAGACTCGTTCAAGAGAGAACAAGGATGCTGTAAGGGAAAAGGCACAGAATGCTGTTAGCAGAAAGGTGTACATATTGCCCAAAATGATGATGAAGCATCCTTTTTTCTTTTTCTTTTTTTTTTTGAGTTGGAGTCTCACTCAGTCGCCCAGACTGGAGTGCAGTGGCCACTCCCGGCCACCACAGCCTCGACTTGCTGGGCTCTGGCGATCCTTCCGCCTCAGCCTTCCAAGTAGCCGGAATTACAGGCGTGTGCTACCACACCCAGCTAATTTTTTGATTTTTTGTAGAGAGGAGGTCTCGCCAAGTTGCCCAGGTGGGTCTTGAACCCATGGGCTCAGGCAATCCACTCACCTCAGCTTCCCAAAGTGCGGGATTACAAGCTGAGCCACTAAGCGTGACTTCTTACAAGTTTTAATTCTTATCATTGCACTCCTAGGTTTAACTTGTGTCCCAAGGAACTTTTGAGATAATTAGAAAAGCTACTATTTAATTAACTCTTAGAGCATCATTCCTCAGGATCTCTGGTAACTCCCCATTGCCTTTGTTTATGGCCTTTGTGACTGACAGTGCCAGTCACCCCTCATTCCAAGTTTGGTTCTGGTGAGCCTGCTCAGTGGGATGACTGTTCTGAGAGTTATGTTCCAATAGGAAGGTGTCTGTATGCTGACCAACCTGCTCCTTATTTATTTAACTCGCACCTGCCTATTGAAATCCTCTCACTTCTGCCTCCCAAAGTTCTGGGATTACAGGCGTGAGCCACTGTGCCCAGCCAAAGCTTACCTATCTATATCTAAACTAGGCTAGCTGTGCCTGTCTCGGCACCTTCAATCTGAGTTGGGACAAGAGCCACTGGGCACCAATGTGGAGTCTAGTAGAGTGATAACAGTTTCTTCACAACCTCTAAAATAGGGGTCAGAGACTTAAGGAGCACAAAACCTTGGGGAATAGTAAATTAACTTTTTTCTAGAGTATATCAGCTGGCGCAGTACAGCATTTTGGACCCTCTGGATGATGGTGATGATGATGATTATTATTATTTTGAGTTGGAGTCTCACTCCATCGCCCAGGCTGGAGTACAGTGGCACGTTCACAGTCACCCCAGGGTGGACCTGCTTGGCTCAGGCTTTCCTTCTGCCTCAGCCTTCCAAGTAGCCAGAACTACTTGGCGTGCACTACCATGCCTGGCTAATTTTTTGATTTATTGTAGAGATGAGGTCTTGCCAAGGTGCTCAGGCTGTTCTCGAATCCATGGGCTCAGGCAATCCTCTCACCTTGGCCTCCCAGAGTGCTGGGATTGATTACAGGACCCTCTGGATTATTAACAACCTTTGTATTCCCTTGTCCAACTTTAATTATTGAATTAAATCTCTGTGCCTATAGCCTGGGAATCTGCATCTAGTAACCCTACTTCCCCCATTGTGATTTTTAAACCCTTCAACATTTAGGTACCTAGTTATAATTATCCCATTGTTTTTATTTCAAACAGGTAAAATCAGGCAGCATCTTTGACAATTTCCTTCTTACAAATGATGAAGAGTTTGCTGAAGAGGTTGGAAATAATACCTGGGGAACAAGAAAAGTAAGATACTCTCTTAGCCTGGATTCCATGTGTCTGACTCCTCAGTCGTGCACTGTTATCAGCATCTTAAAATCAGCCTCATAGTCATGGTCTCATTTCCGGTCACGTGGCCCTGAGAGGTGGGAGAGAGGACTCACATTCATTGAATATCCACAACTCTGTACTTGTGGTTCTGTAAGTACTTTCCAAAAGTGACCCCAGTTAGCCCTAAAACAACCAGCAAGACAGATATTATCACTCCCCTTCAGATGTAGGAACTGAAATTCCGAGTATAAAGTGCTCACAGTTACACACAGCCTTTAACTCACTGAGTTAGAATTTGAACCCAGAGCGCGTGCTTCTTTTGTGTGTTATACCACCTGCCCACAGTGTGTTGATCTAGATGGGAGGCACTGAGCCCATTTCTGATGGATGCCTTGGAGAAAGAAGGTGACAGTGCTGTTTACCAGCTCCCCTGCCCTCCCACAACTATTTTATGGGTGGAGTGATACTTAGGATCTCATGACAATGACACTCTCCATCCAGACCTCCTGGTTCTTCAGGAAGGTCCTTTCAAGCAAGTTTTTGCTCAGTGCTTGATTATCCAACAGGCAGATTAAGTTGATGATTAGAGTACCAGCAAAAGTATGGATACCCTCCAAAATTTGTTTTGAGGGAACCTTTTTTTTGAGTTGGAGTCTCACTCCATCGCCCAGGCTAGAGTACAGTGGCATGCTCACAACCACCCTAGTGTCGACCTGCTGGGCTCCGGCGATCCTTCCGCCTCAGTCTTCCAAGCAGTCGGAACTACAGGTGTACACTACCATGCCCGGCTAATTTCTTATTTTATTGTGGAATGAGGTCTTGTCAAGTTGCCAGGGCTGGTCTTGAACCCTCAGGCTCAGGCAATTCACTTGCCTTGGCCTCCCAACGTGCTGGGATTACAGGCTGAGCCACCGATCCCAGCTTTTTTTTTTTTTTTTTTAACACAGTGTTTCATTCTGTCACCCAGCTAGAGTGCAGCAGCACAATCACAGCTCACCACAGCCTTGACTTCCTGGGCTCAAGTGATCCCCCTGTCTCAGGCTCCCAAGTAGCTAGACTATAAGTGTATACCACCATGCCTGACTAATGTTTCTATTTTTTGTAGAGACAAGGTTTCCCTTTGTTGCCCAGTTCTGGTTTTGAACTCCTGGGATCTAGCAATCCTCCTGCCTTGGCCTCCCAAAATGCTGGGATTACAGTTGTGAGCCACCGCATATGGCCTGAGAAAACACTGATACTTAATATTTATTTAAAAACATAGAAGTAGTCATCATGGGAACAATATTAGACTTTTATATACTTTTTAGACTGGTTTTGTCTTGCTTTACTTTGGGGTTATTATCTAAAATGGTTTTCTTGAGGCACTATTACATATTGGTTAAGAACTTGAGTTTTGGAGCTAGACTGCTTAGGTTCAGATCCAGGTGCTATTATTTACTAGTACAAACTTGTGCAAGTTATTTAACCTCTCTTCATCTATAAATTGGGAATAATGGTAACATCTATCTTGTAAGTTCCTGGCATATAGTAAGTGCTCAATATATGGGAGCTATTACTATTTTTGTTTGTTTGTTTTTGAGTAGGAGTCTTACTCTGTCACCCAGGATGGAGTGCAGTGGCACACTAATGGCCACTGCAGCCTCGATTTGCTGTGCTCAGGCAATCCTATCGCCTCAGCCTTCCAAGTAACTGGATCTACAGGCATGCGCCACCATGCCCAGCTATTCATTCATTCATTCATTCATTGTAGAGATGAGGTCTCACCAAGTTGCCCAGGCTGGTCTCGAACCCCTGAGCTCAGGCAATCCCCTTGCCTCTGCCTCCCAAAGTGCTGGGATTACAGGCATGAGCCACCGTGCCTGGCCTAGCCATTACTGTTAAACCACACATTCGTTTGACAGAGATTAATATTTGTTGAGTATCTGTTCAAAACATTGTTGTAGATGCTGGCGATATGGCAGTGAAATAAAATAGGAGGTTTCTGCCCTCACTAGGCTTACATTCAGTCTGGGGAGACCAAAAAGAAATGTACAAAGAATTCCAAACCTCAGTTGGGCACGGTGGCTCATTCCTGTAATCCCAGCACTTTGGGAATCAGGCAGGAGGATTGCTTAAGCTCAGGAGTTTGAGACCAGCCTAGGCAACATAGTGAGAACTTATCTCTACGAAAGAAAAATAAAAAAATCAGCCAGGCATGGTGGCACACACCTGTAATCCTATCTACTCAGGAGGATTGCCTAAGCCCAGGAAGTTGAGGCTATAGTGAGCCGTGATCATGCCACTGCACTCCAGCCCAGGTGACAGAGTGAGACTATGACTCAAATAATAAATAAACAAAGTCCAAACCTAGATCCCTCATCTAGAAAGTGGACTCTTTGGGTCCCCTCTCACTGTGGGAGCTTTTCTGTCCTTTCAATAAATCCTGCTTTCTCAAAATAAATGAATAAAAAAATAAAAATCATGTGTGTAGATTGTCTGTCAGTCACCATGGTTAGCAGTATAGTAGGCATTCAATAAATGTTTGTTGAATATGAACCAATTTTATTTACAAACAAATTACACACACATTTCTATCCACCCCACACGTCCTGAAAATGTGAATATATATAAATAACATTCCAGAACTCTTAAGACTGAGGCAAGATGCCAGACAATTCTAAAGTGGTTGATTTTTTAAAAAAATACCATCTGTAAATTATTTTGGAATTCCACATTCTAAACAGGACCCAGAGAAGCAATGGAGAGAACTGCATGAGGAAATGGAAAAAAGAAAGCGGGAAGAACAGGCCCAGAGGAAAAGGGAACAGGAGGAGGAGGAGGACAATGATGACTTCTGGAGAACTGAAGAAAAGGGAAATGACAGGCAGATGCTGGAAGGAGATGCTGATGGAGCATTTCCGGGTAAAAATGAAGAAGCCCTTGCTGACTGGAAGGATGAACTGTAACTCTGTAACTGTTGGAAAAATGCCAACGTTAGAGGTAAATGCTATTACTTGGAAGGAGAAATGTTTATAAGGTTGGCACAATTAGAGGATCAAAATAACTTGCTGCTTTTGAATAGATTTTAGATTTGTATTTCCACTGCACTCCTTTTGCTCTGTATGGCCTGGGGAAAGTCACATTACCCCTTAAAGTTTCTATTTCCTTATTAGTGGAAAAGGAGTGATAATTTCTATTATATGAGGTTATTGTAGGGATTAGGTGAGCTAATGTGTGTAAAGTACGTGTTATAAGTATGTAGTCCCAAAATAGTCTATGACTACTAACATTATCACGGTGTTTATGAAATTAGTTATTGGTAAATAAACTTCTGTTTAAACTTGAGCCTCATTTTCAATTTATTCCAGTACACCTAAGGATTTTGTTTTGTTTAAATCTGTATATTACTTGGTATTTACTGAGCAGTGCTGATGGTTGTGCTTGTATATAGACAATTTTTTCCTCTTGCAGATGGGTCAAGCACTTAAAAACAAAATCAGACCTCCCCTCAATGTAAGGAGAAACACTTTGTGAAAGTTCTTTTGTTTATCTGCTATTTTTTGCTCTATTTTAAAGTAATTGTCACTTGTTTGTAGGTTCGCTGGTCTCATATTTATTTTATTTTGTACCATCCGCTCACAGCATCATTTTCATGTGCACTCCTGGTGCTCTTTACAGATTAGAAAGCACTTTCCCATACATTTATGGCACTCCTACAATGTGCTCATTTAATCCTCATAACAACTGTTGTTATTATGAAAATTGTTATTGGCCAGGTTCAGTGACTCAACCTGTAATCCCAGCACCTTGGGGGGCTGAGGCAAGTGGATTGCCTGAGCCCACGCGTTCGAGACCAGCCTGGGCAACTTGGTCTACAATAAGTCCTTGTCTCTACAATAAATCAAAAATTAGCCGAGCGTGGTAGCGAATGCCTGTAGTTCCAGCTACTAGGAAGGCTGAGGCAGAAGGATTGCCTGAGCCCAGCAGGTCGACGCTGGGGTGGCTGTGAGCGTGCCACTGCACTCCAGCTTGGGTAATGAAGTGAGACTCCAACTCACTCAAAGAAAAGAAAAGAAAATTATTATCTTCATTTTACAGATATGGAAACTGCTTTGAGTAGGTAAGTCACTTGCTCAAGGTCATACAGTTAGTAAGGGGCAGGGCCAATGTCTGGATACAAGTTCATCTGGTGTAAAAGTTTATTCTTCCAATGCACCAGGCTGTGGAATGAGTGAGTAAATATCTATTACTATTGAATACATAGAGTAGGCAACCTTCTATATGGAAGAAATATCCTTTTAGGTGTATTTTTTAGAACTTACATCCCACATCTGGGGAGTGAGGCTCATTGACATGACTGTCTTGTAGTTCAGTAAAAGATAAGCCAGGGCTACAAATATGAATCTGGAATATAGTGGATTCTCAGTATAAATTAGTTGAAAAAAATAAACAGAATTCTGCTTCGTGGTTTCAGGAAATACTTCATGAGGGAAGTGACTTTTGAGCCAGATTTTAAAAAATGAGTCTATCCACTGGAGAAGGGATGTGTGGACCAGATTTCAGTGTCAAGGAGCAGGGCCACCCAGAAAACAGGAAGTAGAATAGCAAGGTCAGGAGGGAACAACAAAAGTTTCTTCTTCCTTGCTTTCTGTAGACTGCTGCCTGGTGTGGTTTCTGAACCTTACAATTTTTGGAATATTCTGGTTTAGAAAATTTTATACCTATTTCTATAACCTAAGAGTCTTCTATTATAAAAAGGGCAAGACTTCAGGTGTTAGGTCTGACATTTTGTTTTGGGTCTGGAGGACTAATGTTTAGGGTGATCCGTATTTTAGGGATGCCAGTCTGATGAGTAAATGTCTGATCTGATTGGTCAGGTGTATACACTACCAATTGTTAGATATTTTCAGTATCATCAGATACATATATTGACTTTTACGTAGGATTTTAGGGGAAGAGTAAACAAGAAGGATCTATTTGAATGTATTTTTAAGGTTTTTTTGTTTTGTTTTTTGAGACAGGGGTCTTGCTCTGTTACCTAGGCTGCACTGCACTGCACTCCAGTGCAGTGGTGTGATCATAGCTCACTGCAGCCTCCAACTCCTGGGCTCAAGCGAGTCTCCCGCCTTAGCCTCCTGAGTAACTAGGACTACAGGCACATGCCACCACGTCGGGCTGATTTTTTTGTAGAGACAGGAGTCTCACTACGTTACCCAGACTAGTCTTGAACTCCTCATCTCAAGTGAAATTCCTGCCTTGGCCTCTCAAAGCACTGGGATTGTAGGTGCATTGGAAGAATAAACTTTTACACCAGATGAACTTGTATCATGCTGCCTGGTCTGAATATTTTTTAAAAGTTGCTGTTCTCACCTCTGATTAATTTTATTTTGATTTATTGTGCATATATTATTTCCAGAAATTATGGTAATTTTAACTATGCATTTTATATGCATAGTCCCACCCATTCTGCACACAGACTTTGAAATTTTTTGCATTTCTTTCTAGAACATTCTTTTGAATACCACCATTCTGCCACTGAACTGTACTTCTCCATTTGATTTCTTTTTTCTTTTCTTTTCTTTTTTTTGAATTGGAGTCTGACTCTGTTGTCCAGGCTGGAGTGCAGTGGCACTTTCATGGCTATCCACAGGCTTGACCTGCTAGGCTCAGGCAATCCTTCCATTTCAACTTTCCAAGTAGCCAGAACCATAGGTATGTATCACCACACCCAGCTAATTTTTAAAATTTTTATTTATTGTAGAGACGAAGTCTTGCCAAGTTTCCCAGGTTGGTCTTGATCACCTGGGCTCAGGCAATCCTCTTGCCTCTGGCTCCCAAAGTGCTGGGATTATAGGCCTGAGCCACTGCGCCTGGCCAGATGAATTTTTAAAACATGTATAAGCTTAATTTTCAAAAGTAATAGGTATTCAGTGTAAAAATGTGGCATCAACACATATTAGGAAGAAAGACAATACTTCTTGTATTTCCTTCCAGTTTGTGTTCCTTTGTTGGCTAGCTGAACTTCAGGTGCAGAAGATTTCATTAATCATACTCATTACATGGTCCTTTATCATCTTTGGTCAGTGACAATGTCACTTCTAAATTTTATTTATTTATTCCCCTTCTTTTTTTTTTTTTTTTGATTCAGTGTCTCACACTGTCACCCAGGCTAGAGTGCAGTGGCACAGTCATAGCTCACTGCAGCCTCCATTTCTGGGCTCAGTCAATACTTCTGCTTCAGCCTCCAAGTGGCTGGGACTACAGGCATGTGCCACTATGCTAGGCTATTTTTTTTTTTTTTAAATAGAGATGAGATCTTGCTATGTTGCTCAGACCAGTCTCAAACTCCTAGGCTCAAGCAATACTCTCATCTCAGCCTCCCAATGTGCTGGGATTATAGGTGTGAGCCACTGCACCCAGCATTTTTTTCCCTTTTATTCCCTTTCTCTTCCCTGCTTAGTTAAGTTCTACTTAATGTATGTCTTCTTTTTGTTTGTAATATGTTCTTACAAAATGTGAATTTTTGTTTTCCATGGATTTTTAATTTATGTAAGTGGAATATTGTTTAAATCTCCCTTTGTTTCCGCATATTTTCTACTGAGCACTACATTTGTTTTCTTTTTTGTTTGTTTTGAGTTGGAGTCTCACTCTGTTGCCCAGGCTGGAGTGCAGTGGCATGCTCATGGCACTGGAGTGCAATGGCATGCTCATAGTCACCCCAGCCTCTACCTACTGGGTTCAGGTGATCCTTCCACCTCAGCCTTCCAAGTAACTGGAAATACAGGCATGAGCCACAGTGCCCAGCTAATTTGTTGATTTATTGTAGAGCTGAGGTCTCGCCAAGTTGCTCCAATCCATGGGCTCAGGCAATCTTCTCACCTCAGTCTCCCAAAGTGCTGAGCCACCACGCCCGGCAGTTTTTTTTTTTTTTTTTTTTTTGTTGGAGTCTCACCCTGTCACTGAGGCTGGAGTGCAGTGGCACTCTCATGGCCACCACAGCTTCGACTTGCTGGGCTCAGGAAATCCTTCCACTTCAGCCTTTCAAGTAGCTGGAACTACTGCCACCATGTCCTACTAGGCTAATTTTTTATTTTGTTGTAGAGATGAGGTGTCACCAAGTTGCCCAGGCTAGTCTCAAACCCTTAGACTCAGGCAATCCTCTCACCTCTACCTCCCAAAGTGCTGAGATTACAGGCAGGAGTCACCACACCTCACTGAGCGTTATTTATTTATTTATTTTTGAGTTGGAGTCTCATCCTGTCGCCCAGGTTAGAGTGCAGTGGACGCTCACGGCCACCCCAGCATTGCCTTCTGCCTCAGTCGTCCAAGTAGCTGGAACTACAGGTGTGCATCACTGTACCTGGCTAATTTTTTAATTTATTGCAGAGACGAGATCTCACCAAGTTGCCTGGACTGGTTTTGAACCTGCGGGCTCAGGCAATCCACTCTCCTCAGCCTCCCAAAGTGCTGGGATTACAGACTGTGCCACTGTGCCTGGCCGTATTATGTTTTTAAAATGCATTCATGTTGCTGTGTATGCATCTATTTCACTACTTTTGATTACTATATAATACTTTATGATATAGCATCTACCACATTTTAGTTATCTACTCTCCCTATGGTAGGTAGCCAAGTTGTCTCCAAGTCCCCACCACCATAAACAACACACAATGAATATTTTACCATACAACACTTTATGTGCCAGCATGAGAATTTCTTTAGGGTGTATCCCGGGAGTGGAACTGCAGGCTTGTAGAGTTATGTGATTTCTTGGTTTTTTTCTTCTGAGTCAGAGTCTCACTGTGTCATCCAGGCTATAGTGCAGTGGCATGCTCACAGTCATTGCAGTCTCAACTTGCTTGGCTTAGGTGATCCTTCTGCCTCAGACTTCCAAGTAGCTGGAACTACAGGTATGTGCCACCATACCCGGCTAATTTTTTGACTTATTGTGGAGATGAGGTCTTGC